AATTTTAATGTGAAGGTTGATTGAAATTTTTTTTTTCACTTTTAGTAAATCATTGTCTAACTAAACTGCAAGTTCTCAAAGCTTTTACAGAAATTGTTTAAAATGCACAACATTTCTTTAATATGTATATCTCAAGCTTCTCTTTTAAAGTCTTGAGGCAGTGACATCCTTTTACTTTAATTAACTTTTCTATATCTTAAAACAAGATCAAATCCCAATCTTTTAATTCATCTGCGTTGCAAGCGGTATCACTGAATGTAAGGTACATCAATAGTGAACATTAGACAAAAAAAATAAATCTAGCTGCGCCGTAATTTATAAATTAAAATAAGGTCGGTAAACATTATTAATGATTTTTAAAAATCCATTGTGCCGTAATTCTTTTGTTTGAGCACTAAATTACTTTTCAGGAATGGAGAGTTGCAATCTACAATGAAGACGGTGTTTGTTATGTACAAATTCTCCCTCCCCCCCCCCCTCCCTGCCTATACCGGAGCAAGAAGTTAGAAAATGTTATACAGTTATATTTTTATATTACGAGTAAGTGTAGCAATCGGTTCCATCACTTTTGTAACTCATCCCATTATGCTGTCGAAGCTGTTGAAGAATTTTTTTTCAAATAACTTCACAACACTTTCTTTGCCACGCTCTCTTTATAACTATAAATTACATATTTCTTATACTTTAAATGTATATCTACGGTTACCTTATTAAGATATATGTCTTTATTATGTATTGACAAAGAATAATTACAAGCATTTAAAACGGTGTATTTAAAGCGGGTCAATATACATGTACTCGTAGCGCTTCATTCCTTAAAAGCAATGGGTCTCGGCCCCTTCGAGCCCTCGGCTCTATCACAAAGCTTTATGATAAACGTGATGACTTTAACTTTTTAATTGTCAACTTCCCTTAGTTATGCAGCAATATACCCTAATCACCCGTATATGGGGTGTATATCTCTCAGTTGATTCGATACGCAAGAGCATGATCTATGCATGAACAATTTTTAAAACGAGGTAAGCCATTGACAACCAATTTGACGAAAGAAGAATATCAATATTCTCGTTTAAAGTCATCATTTCGTTAGTTCTATGGTCGAATCAATGACCTTGTCAGCAAATACAATCTATCATTAAAGGTCATATGAAACGGTTCAAAACAGTAGGATTTTACTTTTTAAACATAAAGACTTGTATGAAAGAATGTCAAATTACGTTTAGTATAAAATTTTTTGCCTTTGCTTTACTGAAAAATGGAGGCCTAAATTTGTCTACTTAATAAATTTGTTACCCGCTTATCGTTCTTGATTTTGTGTTTTTATGACATCACAAAGACCCATTGATGTAAATAACGCATTAGATATAGTGTAATTTTACTGTATTTTATTGAGTTAATTTTAGTCATTTTTTGGGGATATAAATGTGATTATGTTTTTAGATGAGCTATCTGATTCTAAAGTACAATTTACTCTATTTAAACTAATCGTTAATTAGGCCAACAACTGAATACGAGAGCTTTTCATCGTAGGATGATCCTGATGAATATTCCGTTGAAATCAAGATTTTTCTCCTCCAACTATGATTACTTATTTTAAATTAGTACTTTAGAAACAAAAATCTTCTTATTTCTATATGATTCATGATGTTTTTTTCATTCCTAGTGAAAGTGTATAATTAACAACAAAAAACAGCGTAATTAATTAACATTGACCTGAAGCTTCTTACAATAAAAATTTTAATGGGCATGCAAAATCTGTAAAATAAAGTTGTGTCATATATTGAGAGGGAAAAATATCCAGCTCAAGGGTACCCCTTATTCCCAAATAAACACGGGGATATTGAAGTTCATGATGAACATGGATCAATGAAAAGTCGGCGTATTTGAATGCACGCTTTCTGCAATCTGAAACACGAGGACTAATGTAAAACGATATAGAAATAGGGGTTTATGACGACATCATCGTAATTTTGCTGTCACAAGAAACATGATTTTAAAAAAAAATGGCGCAAAATTACCGGCATCACGATCGCGAGTAGGTACACGTACATGTATACATGTATATGTATATACATGCACTGTAATGTTACGGTACTGATACTTCTAACAGTTTGACTGAGCAACTGCAGTTTGAAAATACTCATACAGTTCGTGCATAAATTGATCAGTTAAAAAAATCCATACCCCCCATTATTTGCGCGATTGAACTTGAACAATTTTTAAAATTAATATTTTTACAGTTAAACTTTTTTTTTATATATCAGACTATATACTCTGTGTTGAAATAATCTGATACAAATTTAAACAATACGGTCTGTAAATATATTCACACAGAAAAGTAGAATTGCATAGATAGAATTGTGTTTGATGTCTGACTTTTTAAAAATTATTACGATATTAAATATAGTTACAGTGTTATGTGTATACATGTACTGACTTTTTGGTAAGAAAAATATACGGGAAGAGAGAGAGAGAGAGAGAGAGAGAGAGAGAGAGAGAGAGTCATCGAGACAGGGAAAGCCAAAGAGAGAAAAGGGAAAGCGATTGAGAGAGGGGGAAAGCGAGAAAGCGATAGAATCATTTCATTTCCCATGAATAAATGAAATAATTTATTTGCAGGTTTAGTTTCACTTTCACACACCGCGGTCAATCGAATTCAGCTTTACTTATAAATTTTAATCAGAAAACAAATCATCAATATTCTTGTGTTAGAAATTTATTCGATTGTAAATTATTTGACAGCGTCTATATTCACATACTCTAGTAGGGAGTACAGACTCCCTCTCTCTGTTTTTTTTTCTCTCTCTCTCCCTCTCTCTCTCTCTCTCGATTGAAGTGTCGAAGGACGACAATAAATTACAAAGATAAAACATGCTAAAATCTTGCAAATATGCAATAGGATGTTAAAAGACAAATACTATCTTGTTTGAAAATCGTATATTTATGCGATATTTTAGCCAAGATGATGATATTTCTTAAAAATTACGCTGCAAAAGACATGATCGGTTGTATAAATGTTAGTACTGAATGTAGCGAGTGAGTCTTACTGACGTCATAAGCAAAGGGAAATAAGCCGCGCTAGTTGAAGTTCATTTTCGCAGTCAAGTAATTTTGATCGACTCTGCTGCCGCTAACTTGCATAAAAAATCCAAAATGTAATTTCAGGCTTATTAAAGTTGCTCAGATGAACTCATTTCCTTATACAACCCAAAATGCTCAGGGCATCGTTTCATATGACCTTTAAGTCATATACTGAATGACGTTTTTCATACTTATTGTTAGGCCATTATTTACACACTGAATTGTCGAAGGATTTCCCAATCATGACAAGGAGCACACAGCGGGTGTGACCAGTCGGCAGGGTATGCTCACTCTTCCATGGCACCTGATCCCACCTCTGATGTTTTTGGAGGTCCGTGTTTGCCCTGCTCCCGATTTGTATTGTTTTAATGGACTTTGAGCTTGAATACTGTTCGTTATCTCCATATTTCATTTTAAGCAATGGAGCGCTACTCATACGTTAGCTATTACTTACATAACAACCTTGTACATGTAGCAACATTAATTATAAAATTAATCCATTAATGATAAAATGTTGCATTATTAAATAGAATTGTACTCGCAAATTATTATATCATTGATATTTGCATTCGCTCTGTTCTTCCCTCTTGAAGCCTGTAACTAGCAGTTGCATTTATTACCCCATAAACGCACATGTTGTCAATATATGCGTGGGTCGCATGTCAAAGTTTCGCATTGAGAAATTTGCTACATAATGGATTATATATAGTAAAACATAGTGTTAAAAATTTGACTGTAGTTAATAATAAAAATCTTCAAAAATTTCCAAATGATGAAATAATAAGAAATGTGGATTACTATTATTTTCAAACCTCTTAAATGAATTTTAAGCAACGTTCAAATTTGTACAATATCTCTTAATGAAACACACGTGATTATTTAATTATAAAATTTACTCGTATCATAATTTTACACTTTAAGGAAAGAGAACTCTTCACAAGGGCAATCCATATTCAGTTCTGCGCAATTACATCGCATAAGCAGTATGACGTAAACTTTACAATGTTTTCTTAATATTTGTCAATATTAATTTAAACTCCATAAAGTGAATAAAATATGCGAAAAAGGATGACAAAAATCTTTTCTTTTGCTATACATCAGGGATATTTCTAAATATTTCTAAATGGCATTACCTAGTATATTCTCTCATTTTGTAAAATGATATCTGATTTAATTATGAAGGCATAGAAAGTAAGTAAAATAATGTGATAATTCAACTTTATGGTATTTAATGTTTTGTTTTTATATGATTTGCTAAGATAAACACATTTAACTAGTTTTCAAGGTCTGAGGACATGTTCCTCAAATGTCTCTTTTGTTTCACCTCAAAATAAGAATTATTCATAATATTAACTGTTTTAAAAATGTCTTAGAAAATAAATACAACCAAAAATTGTGATATTGACAATTCAGATAGGATTATGTAGGAAACGCCAACCTCTGAAATCTTGCACAATTGCTTTGTAAGGTACCTCAATTTTTGGTGAAGAAACTTGTTAAAGTAGTAGCACTTCAATGACAAATTCTTGGGAAAATTATTTATTATTGAGGAACGTGTCATCTGACCTTAATCTTTTTTTTTTCATTTCATAAATTAGCATAATCCTTATTCTAAATTTTGAAATACATGCGTGTTTTTGTGCAAAGGAGAAAGAGTCAATCGACTTTAAAAAAAAAAAAAAAAACCCTTAAAAGATAATTAATAGATTTCTTTTTGAGTGATTAGAAAATTTGTTTCGTAAATTCATTGAAAATAAGAAACACTGGTTAAGCATTTTATTTGCGACAGATTGCAAATCGTTCATGGATTTTGGTATCTTAATAATTACATATAAATAATTATTAACTAAAACATCACAAAACCAATGAAAATATACTAAGTAGAAAACTAAATTGACTTCTGTACCAATTCAAGGTCAGTCCGTCTTAGATTTGTATTACTCGAACGTTGTCAACTGCTACTGTTCCAAATCCATTCATTCCACCGATACGCCCAGTAAAGTAATACTGTATAATTAAAAATAGTTACAGCAAAAAATAATATGCACTACGCATATGAAATATTTTCGAAAATTCATCCCCCCCCCCCCCAAATAATAATTACATGTATGAGTACTGCATGTACATGTAATTGAATAATTGAACTGTAACACTTGTACTCGAAACATTCTCATTACATATAAGAAAATGAAAAAGGTAAAGATAACAAACAGTAACCAAATTAAAAAAAAAACTTCAAACAATACAAATATGTAAACAGGGCATACAAACACTGGAGAATCCAGAGGTGGGATCAGTTGCATAGTAGGAGTAAGCATCCCATGTCGATCGGTCACAACCGTAATGAGCATCAGTCATATTGACCTTAAACGACATGACTTGAACAAGCTTGTTGAAATCCCTGTTATATCAACTTATTTTTCAGTAACCTGCCTAGGTTTAAGAAATGATCGTAATCAGAGCATGCTCTCGCGTATCGAATAAGTTAGTTTGGCGACATAAAAACCATATGCAGGTGATAGTGGAATATTACTACATAAAAAAGGTAAGTTGACGATGGAAAAGCTTAAATAATCTCATTTGTCATACAGTTTAGTTGCTATTTTTGCACAAGTGTTTTTCTCCTTCTCTTGTAGAAGTATATTGAATAAATTCTGCTTCATAGGAATATACAGGTCGGCTAATAAAGGAACACAATTAGTGCCATCAAAATTCATTATATTTACATTTACATTTTCCCCTTATATAACACTTGAACAATGTGTATATATCAATGTATCGATACATGACCACATATTTATTGTGTAGTCATAAAAGAGTCGACGTATTTTCACAGTGACGTCAGAAATATCACAGGAGTTTGCATACCAATCAATTTTACCGAGATTTTCTGTAAATATAAAAAAAAAAATACGTAATACGTGTACCTATTATTATTGGTTTTACGTGTTTTTTATATTTACTGAAAATTTCGGTAAAATTGATAGATATACGCGATCTCCTCTGGAAATATAATATTGACGTGTTCAACGATTTATATTAACATCTGTTCAACAATTTTAATACTGTTAAGGTTTGAAAGAAATATACTATCCCATAGGTTTAAAGCTATAATACGCCAATGTTTGTCATAAATCAATTACAAATGTAAATACAAGTACTCATGTAAGGTATCATGTGTAAACATGCACATCTATCGGTATATAAAATCGGGTTGATACGTGATTAAATCTATCATTCTGGTCTTATGGGATTTGATCACAATTACCAATACATTTTTGTTTACAATTGATACCTTACTTCTTAAGTATATATTGATAATAATCATAAATACACTGTCCAAACTTACAAACGTTCTTAGACCTGCTGGTATTACGACACTGGAGGACTTCCATATTCCATTATCACCCCGAGTATAGAATCGGGTGAACCATTTAACTGGTTCTCCCTGGCCATAGGAAAAGAATAGTTCGCCACTTCCAGTGGATGTATAATTGAATTCAACTCGCACTGAAAAATCTAGAAAAACGAGTACACTGGGTGCATAATTAGAAAAATATTTCATACACATTAATTTGATATTTTATTATTTCTTTAAAAAAAAATCGATAACGTTTGGCCTTTTTGCATAACCTTTTATATAAGAGAAATGGTGTTCTCTTATTTGTAGAAAAGAATATCATTCAATCATTTGGCGCCCTATGAATAGACTTAAATAACAAACCTGGAAGGTGCTGCTTTGATAACATCCATGAAGTTTGTTGCGTTCTAGAAAAACTTGCCATCATCGCGAAATAATTCCCCTCTGGAGAACTTCTTATTCCGGGAAATGACTAAAGAAAAGTCATTTATTTTTTATAAAAAGCCTGACAAGGTATTATACAGTGTAAACAGTTACTGCTAGAGACGAGACATATACACTTACATTTCTAACTAAGCGACTGTTGTTTTGAAAAAGGTATATTTAGTAAAGCTGCACTCAATCACAAGAATAGTTGAGCTAGATGTCTAAGCGACTGAGTATGAATTGGGGCAAAATTTAAGTCAAATAACTGTGGAAGTTGAATGATATGAAAATAACGAAGATAAATAATCAAGCTCAGAAATACAATTATTAACTGGATATTTAAAATTATTAAATTGAGATTAGAGCAGATACGGACCCCCCTGGAATATCAGAAATAGGATCAGGTACTATTTAGGAATAAACAACCTCTGTCAATCTTAGAAGAGGGTAACTTTCCTTAGCAAGAGATAAAAAATCTGGTAAGGGAATTTAGAATCAAGATTTTGTAAATTAAGCAAAGCTTAAGAAGTTCAAATTATTGATGTCGATTAAAAAATAGATAGTTTTGAGGACCTTTATGAAATAAAAATAAACTTTTTTTATAGAAAAGTACTTACTTTAGTTCTGAAGAAATCCAAGGCGTTATGTTGATAGTTATCCATGCAAAGAGTCGTTTCAAAGCCGCAGTGGGAAGGTGTCCGTGCTTAAAAAAGGAGGAGAGTTACCGGAATAATAATTTATACACAATAAGGTCATTTGTTGCGGTTAACCAAAGAAATGCAAACTCATTATTTTTATAAAATTAATGTGTGTCGGACAAACATTATCTCAGTGTTAATCCCTCACCCCATTCCAAGTTGAAATATTTGTGGAAGTAATCAATTCTTCCTTTAACAAAAACAGTTATTGAAAGTGTCTCACGATTGTGATACTGTATACCATCATGGCATGATGGTATATTACAATATCGTCTGAAACTTTCAATAATTTTTATTCTTCATGCACAAATATCGATGAAGATTTTTTTTTTCTGTAATTGTCATTGTTGTAATTTTGAATGTATTTTGAATAGTAATTACAAAGATTACAATATTGTACTTAATGCCAACCAGTATATTAAAAAAAATTACATGACATTGTATACGAATACCAACTGTGATCTAAGTGATACTGCCCCCCCCCCCCCATTAATTTGAAGACGATACAAAAGGGTTGTCATTTCAGATGCTTTTCAGACATATATAATCAAAATCGGAAATTACCTTCTTCTAGCAAGTAAAAGCTTGTCCAAAAAACTTGCCTGACTAAGCAATTAGTATCTATCTGTCTTTAGTATATATTAAGTGACGATCGAACGTTTATCTCAAGTGGTAAGGAAAAAATAAGACAACTTTCTTTGAAAGATTGTTGGATGAAGTTGATAAAAAATTTTGATAGAAGCAATGGATGTGAAATGTTTCAGTTGAAGACTTCCTATGAGTGGAATTTGACAAACATCGCGACTGTTTGGAAACGTAACTTGTCTCTGACTCATCTGCAGAATGGAAAGTGAACTTGATTCAAGTGTCATGAATATTGTCTGTATCTCAAAGTACAAATATACGCTTACGAAAACTAGTGAAATGTATATGCATGTGTATACAAGTAACCTTTAAAAGAAGTTAATAATGACGTTGTATTGAAAATTGCTTAATGGCTTTAAAAATAAAGTACATGTAAGTAAATAAAACAAATAATGCATATGAATAATATTAGGAAGCTTAAGCTGTGAAAAGGTTACGTGAATGTGTTTTGAATGCGTACAAGATCAGAAATGCCAAATGACAGCTGAAAATGATAACCTTCATAATCTGATCATATAAATTCTAATAATTTTAAGAATTTAAAGCATCAATTGTTGATGGTTTTTTTGGTAATATAACAAATCGGACTAGTCCACTTTTGGAGTAAACAGGAAAATAAAATAACTAGGAAAACCCATTACTGTTACCTGTCCATATTCGATGCATTACATTATAAACATGTTATACGTGTATATAGAATGATAAATATAGCTGGAGAATCAGGTTATAAAACAAATTTTTTTATTCCATGGAAGCTATCATATGTTAAAACGCTAGTAACAAATTCCAATTTAATATGCTTGCACAAAATTTAGCTGCCTAGCTTGCAACACACGGTTTTGAACCATGGAAGATTATATCTTTAACCTGCCTTACGCTCGTGGAGTCATGTAATCATGTAAGCTTTTTAGTCGACTACCTGATTTCAAAATCCAAGAGCTCGAGTCCGAGACAGAAAGCGAATTAATGCACTGTTCACACGGAGAGTTTAATTCGCAGTAAATTAATGCGAAGTAAACTAATGCGAATTGAACTAATGCGAATTAATGCCCTGTTCACACGGAGAGTTTAATTCGCAGTAAATTAATTCGAAGTAAACTAATGCGAATTAAACTAATGCGAATTAAATTGCGTTCACACGAGAGCTAATGCGAAGTAAACTAATGCGAATTAAAATTATATTTCTACAGTAAGGCTATTCTGTAAGCCTATTATGACGTCATTTTCAAATCACGTCACATTGTGCAGAGCAGGTACATTTTACATAATGTCATTGTGTCTGTACACATTTTATTGATTAACAAAATTTTCTTTGGTTTTCCACTCAAAAATAGCACAAGTTACTATATCTGACCACCGACAAGTGGTCTTAGACTTAATTCTGCCCTTACGCATGCGTCAAAATTTGATTCGAATTAGCTTCGCTTAGCGTTCACACGGAGCTAATGCAAAGTAATTTAATGCGCAGTAAATTAATTCGAATTAAGCTAATTCGCATTAAATTCTCCGTGTGAACGCGGATCAAATTTAATTCGCAGTAACTTACGTTTAATTCGAATTAAACTCTCCGTGTGAACAGGGCATAAGGTCTCGAGTTCGTAATCTAGCTTTAAGCTTTAAGTTTGGTTTAATCTCTTGCAATTCCAATTGTTTCCAAATAGATTTAGAAATTGATTTAAAATTTTTCTGAAATCTACAAACTAAGTTCAATCTTTTGCGATTCCAATTAATTCCAAATAGATTTACAAATTGAGATATGATTTTTCTAAATTAGGAAAATCCAAATGACTTGGAAGTAGTTGAAAACCAAATGATTCCTAATACTTCTTAGTCATTTAAAGCGACTTGCATTTGAGATTTAACGGATACACACTCGTTATTGCAAGAGTAAAACTAATATGATTTTTGTACCAGAAAACAAAAACGTTACAATTTTTTTTTATCAGAATGAGACCATACAGTTTATGACAATTACAAGTAAACTTAATGAGAAATATCAAATGTTTGATATTCAAAAAGTCATCTTCCTCATACATTTTTAAACGGACTTTCTTATTGCAAAGATTAAGGGAAACCAACATACAACATTGCTTAATATACCCTCTTGGCTTTTGCAATAGAAAAAAAATGACTTTTTTTTCTATTTCCAATATACATACTTGAGTTACTGCATAGGTCGTTGTTGCATGTATACACAGGGGGACACTGGGAACACGTTGTACCGGCTGTATAGGGAGGCATACTGTTCATATTCCCGCTGGTAACAAAACAGAAAAAACCTCTTACTTTCAAGTATAGACATCATTAATTTATCATAGATCAGATTTCCTAACAAGTGTATTATTTGATTTTTACATAATCACGTGTTCTGATTTAAGATTTCTTCCAAGGTGTTTTGCAGTTTAAGTAATCGAATTTTTAATACTAATACATACTTTTATTGTTAAAATCTGGCCTAGAAGAAATTCATTAATCTATCTACATTAAGAAGTAATAAATGTTTGAGTAAGGCTATATGCAGAAAGTATGGAGATCTTACCCAGGTCCATAGTTACAAACAATAAGGTAATAATTTCCACAGAGTACTTTTGCACAGCCTACATATTCAGATTCTGCCCAAACAACCTGTCAAAGATCAATATAGTAATGTATTAAAAACAATTCATAGGACAAGTCTCCTTTCTTTAATTCGTTCTTTTTTTGAACTTAGCACGAGGATATTTTAACAACTAAAAGAAGAAACTTTTAACAATATTATATCCAAAGACCTTATTTGTAAGTATGTAAATAAATTGATATTAAAAGAACGCGTATTTTGTAAACATCGTTATAAGACACTGATTAAGATAAAATCCATCGATATAGCTCTAAATTGAAGCAATAACATAATACAAACACACAGTTCTCAACTTTAAAATCAGTCAAAAGCTGTAATGACAATTTACTTGACCAAAAACAGGCTGTGATTGAAAAAAGCCTAGAGTATATAATAAAACGATAGAAAAGAGAGAAAAAGAGGAAAATGAAAACTAAAAATGAATCTACCTGTGTATAATGACCACAGACCCCCGTACAAGTGTTTGATGAAAGATCGTAATCATGTTTTTCGTTATCCCATAGAGTAACAGCAAGGGTTCCTGAATCTGCAGTACAAAATATCTCATATCTCATGTCAGGTACTCGTAGAATAGGGTCAAGGACAAAAACAATAGAAAAAAATGATAAAACTGAAATGTTAAGAATATGGTTATGCTTCGTTTAAATTGCTGTAGTTACCCTATTAAATAAATTTTAAAATGACATAATGAAAAAAATCGTAAAGTAGTTGTGTGGTTAGTGGTTACTATAACGAGACAGATGATATACAGATTATTTTTCTCTCAAGTTGCATTTTTCAAACATTCTCACTTATTTATCATAAACTCCAATATAAATTAAATCATACAACCTGATGTGCCAATATAAATATTCTCTCCAACGTAACTGAAAGTTGCCGATTGGCTTGATCTTTGAGAGTTATGTCTAAAGACACATTGTTTGGCATAGTTACGAGCAATGGTGGCAAGTTCTTCACTCCATTTCTACTCAAAAGAAGAATAACTCGTATTACACATGTTTTCGAATTAAATAACATAGGTCTGACTTTTAATATTCTATGCAAACCTGTTTAACAAATCAATAAAAACTAATCTAGTATAGGGATGAGAGTGTAGTTTCATTGTCGAATTCAAGTTGGTTTTCTTAATTGATGAAATTTTGCATATTGAAAAATGCTTCGGCTAATTAACACCGGCCAAATTAAATCAATTATGGTTGTACCGTCTCACAATTTTTTATATTAATGATAACGTTGTTTCTATAAACGTCTTACCATTTCTCTCATGTTAGAAGCTGGGGGACTTACAATCCTCCTCTGTTCGTTGTGAGCTTTTAAAAATTCTTCATTTTCGTTGACTTGTCTCTTTCTCAGTATTCTTCTTACAGGACCCTATTTACATCGGTAAGAAAACGTGATTAGAATGCTACATGAAAAATACATTGCTGAGAAGTCATAAATTGTAGAATGGTCAATGTTTAAACATCTCAGAGAACACAACAAATACTGATGTTTCCTTTCATATGCACCATTAATGTATTGTTTCCTTTATGATTTTAGATTCCTAAGATTGTTTAATTTTAGCTTCAGTGTAGAACATATTATTTTATGTGTTTTATAAATCTAAGCAAATGATTTTTTGAACAGGCATTACGGAATGCAAAATATGTATTAACCATGCATAGCCCTATCGCCTTTATTTAATAAGCATTTATTTAGAAATGTAATTGTTGAATATTGTATAGTTTCAGATTTTCATGGCCGCCCGCGTGGCGCAGTGGTTAGAGCGTCTGCTATAGAGTCGTGGAGTAAGGAGTTGATCCGGTCCTTCGGATGAGACCGTATAAACCGAGGTCCCGTGTCGCAGAAGGAGCTGGCACGAAAAAGATCTCTCACTGCTCAATGGCACTGAGTGCCGAGTATAGATCAAAATTTGTAGCTCTCCACTGGCAAGTGGTGGCGTCTTCATATGAGTGGAAAATTCTCAAGAGGGACGTTAAACAATAAACAAACAAACAAAACAAAAACAAACAGATTTTCAATCAAAACAATACTCGTTTTTGAGAAAAATAGCAATTTACTTTAATTTTATTAAAGAAGTTTTTAAAAGACAGCTTCCTCAAAGAATGATTATGGTAAAAAAAAGGAAAAGTGATTGCTACGAGTACTAGAAGTTATTATAATGAAATTAGAAATAACTCACATGGGGTCCTTCCTTGGACCAAGCCCCAACAAAGCATATAAGTAATCCTACGGAGACTAACATCATCGTTTTTGACATAGATATTTCATCCATGCAGTGCTATTCCTGATAAAGATCAAAAAGTTCATTCATGCAAATTTGAACATTTGTGACCATTATTTGTTGATAATTTTTTTTGTATCACTTTAATTTTTTCAGCAATTCTTTCATAAATTCATTTATTTTGAGAGCACTTTGACATCCTGTTTAAAAACACAAATCTGCCAACATTTCGGGGATTTGGTGCCAATTTCTGGTTGGTAAGTTCAATGAGTTAACGGAAAGACTTGATTGTAATGAAACACTGAAGGAAAAATAATGTCTTTTCTCTTAAATGCTGATTGCATTAATAATAAATATTTCATCTTTTATAGATTTTTGCTTCTTTATATTCTGATAGCTTTTATAAATCAGACATGTTTTAAATATCCCAATCAGAGTAAAAATGTTGATGTTAAAATAAAAAATATAATCTGAGGTTATATAGGTTATAGTTAATATTGACCATTTATAAAAGTAATAAAAATAACATTTAAACAACATTAAACACAAAATTCAAATCTTTTTGGAAGATTTGTCCGTATTAATTAACACCTGTAATAAATATTAAATCAATTTCAACATGTTCATAGCTTAATATAAATAATTGTAATGAAGAAAAAGCAATCTTCTAAGGAATGTATTACACAAAACGTCCCAATCCTAATTTAAAGCCAAAGATGATTCAATCAATATCAAGCTATATCTGACTGACCAGTTCAAACAAAACATTGATTATTCAGGCGGACACCATCTGTAACTGTGGAAGCTACAAATCATCGTCGTAAATGGCGCACGACACAAAGAAAGAGATTCACTACAAAAGCAGACATAAGAATATAAATCATTAAGGTCTGTGAGACATATTTATCTTTTATCTGTTTATAATATAAAAAAATATTTATAAATATTATCATCTGATTTCTAAACTGTTTTTAAAATATTTGAAAAATATCGTGCTAGCAAATCAAATGGTTTTTAGTATATTTACAATAGGGAACAATACGTATCCTCTGTAATCTTGTAGCAATGCCTAGTAATGTACCCCAATTCATTTTAGGAAACTTCTTTAAGTAGCAATACTTTAATAATAATAATGTCCTTTATTTATACAGGAGAGCACAATTAGTCTACAAAACTAGTTCACATTTTGGTCCTGAAAACATTTATACAGACAGCAAAATTATATACAAAAACAAATAGATATTAAAGAATATGAGAAATCACAAATTCTTGGGAAAAACTTTTTTGCAAAGTAGGTCAAAAGTCAAGGTCAAATGGATTGTAATGATGGTATTTTTCATAATGTCTAATGACAAACAGTGCACATGCTAAATAGCATAGACCTAACTCTTAAATTTCAAAAATATGCTTTTTAACGGCACTATATGTAAAAGTGTCTTTCCCAAAAAAGAGCGTCACATCTAGTTTGGTATCTAAGGGATTTTTTCACACTATTTTTTATTGTTAAGGCAAGACAACATGTTCCTTAAAAATAGGAAGTTTTTTTTCCTATAGATTTTTTAATAGATATTAAAGAATATGAGAAATCACAAATTCTTGGGAAAAACTTCCTATTTTTAAGGAACATGTTGTCTTGCCTTAACAATAAAAAATAGTGTGAAAAAATCCCTTAGATACCAAACTAGATGTGACGCTCTTTTTTGGGAAAGACACTTTTGTTTTGCCTACATATTCTCTCATTACACACACTCATCAAACCATGAATTTGGTTTCCAAGATAAAAAAAACTTGTTTTTGAATTAAAGAAAAATACCTATAATTATAAACCATAATTTAATTCTACGTGTAAGAAACTGACATATAGTTTTTTTTTCATACCCAAGTATGTGCAGAATGTTAGATGCGTTTTTATTAATTTTCATTGCTTTTGCAAAACATTTAAGAGTCTAACGTCCATAAGTAACGCTGTATTTTCCTAAGCACAATGTATATAAATAAAAGGAAATAAGAAATCTGTAAGCCAATGCTCACTAGTAAAACCCCCCACCTCCTTCCCCACATCTGATGTGAATATACGCTCTCATGAATCCCACCATATGCCATGCCTAAACAAAGAGTGTGCTAAAATTTGAGCATGTGCGATGAGTAGTTGCTGAGAAAACTACAACAGAAATTATGTATGGACAGACGCATGGATTAAACAGAAAGTTGAAAGTTGACATTGGATTCACATAGAAATGAATCCCACCATATGGCATGCCTTAACAAGGAGTGTGCTTAAATTGCAAACATCTGCGATGATTAATTGCTGAGAAAACTTCTACGAAAATTTGGTAGGAACAGACGCACAGATAAACAGGAAGTTTACATCAGATTCGTACAAAAATGAATCCCACCCTATGGCATACTTATACAAAGACTGTGCTAAAATGTCAAGCATCTGCGATGAGTAGTTGCTGGGAAAACTGCAAGGAAAAATGTTACGGACAGAGGCATAGACAGCTATAAGACAGCTATACAGACAGACAGACGGACGGACGGACAGACGCACAAGGGTAAAACAGTATACCCCCTCTCCTTCGGAGCAGGGGTATAGAAATGTTAGTTATAAATGAAATTGAATCTGAAAATGTCAGTCTTGAGGGTAGAATATAATAGTAATCATAATTGTTTTCCAGAATGAATAATTTTGCCAAAGGGCTCCTTTATTTTAGTTCAATCAACTCACACTATTGCTATTTTGATAAACATTTAATATTTATTATACCCCCCCCCCCTTGAAAAGAGGGGTTGTTTGGTGATGAGGGTGACCATCCGTCCGTATGTTAAGCTTTGGGGTACCCATCTCTTATCCGCAACTTCGTTTTACCACTAAATAAAATTTACTTCCACAGAATCTTTATTACACAGTGCCATTGTGCACCTTCTATTTTACCTTTTGACTGGACACATATCCAGGTTTCCCTTAGTTTGTATCATATCAGGGGTACCCATCTCTTATCCGCAACTCGCCGGGCCTATACCACTGCATAAATTTTGATGATACTTTCACAGAATCTTTTTACGTAGTGCCATTGTGCACTTCCTATTTTATGTTTGGTAAAATTGGACATTTGGGCTTTCCCATAGCAAAAAATGGACTTTGCCATTATACTCAGTGCTCACAATACCTCTAGTTTACCATGCTTTTCAATAACGTAGTGCACTCTTTATACATGTACTTTTTATGCAATCAAATAAAACAGAAAAAAAATTGGATTTAATACAGTGATTATTCAAGTATATAAGGTATGTCAATCCTACTAAAAACAATGTAAACAAAGTACTATTTCACAAATATATACCAAATCGTAATAGATGTACTATTCCATTAGTTTAGACACGTTAAATGTCTTGTTTTCCATAATCATATAAGATTTCATAACAATGCAGGCTTGACTATGATAAATGACTACTCTGCATATACATGAAGACATGAAATGATGAAATATACTTACCAGTTAATGCAATTAACGTATACCAAACACTCGTTCTGTGAGTTTAAAATAAGAAAGAGACTCGTCAATGCACCAGGTGATCACAATTTCGTATGATTCATTTTGATTGGTTCTGCATACATGTATATACATTATACCTACACCTTCATCAATTTATAGAAGATACCGAAGAATAGTAAATACATACACAAAAATATTCTTTTTTGGCAAGCTGTTGTAAATTTTAGCGTTTTTACTAAAACATATTTCTAGAAGACAAGAAATTACATTTACATATTTATTAAATTACATATTTATTTCTGATTTAGAATCTTCTATTAATGGACATCTATTAAATTGACATCAAAACTAACATTTTGAATATCAGTATGAAAATATTCATAATGTGCCCATCTGCGCACATAAGAGTCATTAACCTCCTCTGTCATAGGGTAGACTAATATTTTGTAGATGTTTTACACGGCATATACTTTTGATGGCAAGCTCTTGTAACCCAACCTCCACAATTTAAAAAAAATATTAATTAGAAGCATTATTTCCAGTCATGGGACCGTTCACGGTTCAGCTCAGTCGGAAGAGCGCTTGCTCCGTGATCTGGAGTTCGTAAGTTCGAATCTCGACCTAAGTCGATAAAAAATGGGTAGCAACTG